ATTGATGTGACTTTCTTTAGTTGAGTCTGTTGGTTTGGTTCAAGCAATTTCATTCAGTGGGGAATCCGATAGAATACAGGATGCCTGCAAGTTTGTGCTTGTGCAGCCCTCTGTAGTTAACACCATGGTTTTGCTTAGCACTCTCCAGTAGTTGGTGAGGTCCTTGGCTGAGGGCCAAGGAGATTTCAAGAAGAGCAGGCCACCACAGTGAACTAGCTAACTAACAGCAATGTATTGAGCTACAGTACTGTACAGTATGCCCACTGTAACTCCATACAGTTACAGAATATTTTATGCTCCCAGAAGTTCTCACCCTTCCAGACAACTGGTGTCTGCTGGTCAATACTCATCATCCCTGTCCCAGGAGAATGACTAATACTGGATTTGTCCTTGTTTATTTGTCTACCTCTTTTTGATTTCCCTCTGCTCTTAAGATTGGCTCCAAGATGAGTGTAGTGGTTAGGAAAATAAATAGTTGGAACTCTTCCCAATTTGTCCATGTTGACTGTGTTATCAGTTCTAGTATAGTGGGTGTGCTTTGTGAGCCACCATTTCTGTTATAGAAAGGACTTGGGAAGCTGCTAATCATGATTTCTAATTTTGACATTATGTATGTAGCCCCTTTAAAGCCTGACAATTGTAGTAGTTGGAATAAAATATGCAAAAAAAAAAAAAAAAAAAAAAAAAAAAAGACACCAAACCAAAGCTGGGAGTTAGTCTATGAAAGTAGCTTTGTAATGCTAATGGCTTTGTTCCCTTCTGCCCAGGACCCTTTTCCCAGGAAGTAAAAGCAGGATTAATGCAGCTCAGTCAGGGGAGAAATAAGTGTTTCCCCTGCTATTTGTAACTCATGAACCTGCAGCTCACTGGCATTGTGACAGCCTGTGAATGTTGTGATATCCTGAGTTCTCAGCATCTGCTCAGATTATCCTCAGTCTCATTCACACAGTTCACCTGGGGTGGGTAGTGCTAAATAAATAGCTATGTCAGTGAAACTCCTGGTTTGCATGGATTGAGCAGTGTGTCACTTTCGGGTGTTCCCCAAGCCATCATAACATTCCTGTGACACCCCCTACCTCCTTTGAAATAGGGTTTCTTTGTGTATCCCTGGCTGCCCTAGCTCTGTAGACCAGGTTGGCCTGTATGTAGTAGGTATTGGTTTGCTTTCCAGGTCCATGCATGTTTCCTGTTTTTCTGTTTTTTGCTTGTTTTGTGTTTGCCATGCTTGGAACACAGGTCAGAGCCTCACAGGCTGCCTCAGTCCTACCTATGGCTTCTTAATCCTGCTCAGGCCCAGGAGCTTTTTAATTGGTAAGAAGTTTGGAACTACCTGACTTGGCAAAACTAAAGTTTTGCCCCCTCGTAGCATCTGTTGCTTTGAAAGACGGCCCAAGCCTACCAGATAGTACAAAGACTGATTGGAAGGAAGCCCTTTCTTTGTTTGGCTGTGGCAGGGCTCGGCCTGTCTTCCTAGTTTTTTTGTACTGTAGTGGGAGAACTTGTGGCTGCCCATCTCCCTTGGGAACTGAGTACTGAACAGCAAAGTGTCAGCTGATTACTTGTCTCGGAGCTGCCTTTCCAATTATTACTAGGAACCTTTTCAAAAGGCAAGGAATATTAATTTGGAGGCAGTGGACATATTATTCATTTGAATTTCTAGAGATAGTCTCAGAACAACGGAGGGGTAGAGAATGCTGTTCTCCAGTGCACCCTAGTGCCATAGTTTGTTTCCCTTGCTGGCAGACAATAGTTTGCTGTGATTCTCATTCATCTATGCAAGTGAATCTGGAACATCTTCTCAACCTTCCCTGGAAAGAGACTATTTTTGTTTCTGAGCACGATGTCTTCTTTCTCTTCTAATTCATGTGTCACTCCCTGGAGCTTGGTCTCTTACTTTTTGCAGTTTTGTCAGCGTATTTTAATTCCCTTTTCCTCCTTCCTATAAACCTTTTTAAAAATTTGTTCTATAAGCACACTCTGTAATAGTGCTTTTCAGAGTGACTCATGTATGTGAATATTTTACCTGCATGTGTCTATGTACCATATGCTCTTCAGAGGTCAAATGATGGAGTAGAATTCTTCAGACCTGGAGTTAAAAAATGTTTGTGAGCCACCTTGTGGGTTCTGGGAATGGAACTCTTGGGATATTTAACTGGTTACCACTCAGTCACTTTGATTAGGCAGATGTATTGTGTATCTGGTACAATTGTAGCCCCCACTCTATTTTTAACACGTCCCATGGCCCAAAGTCTCAGTATCTCCATCTTTCCTACCTTTGATAGTGAGTGGCTTCCCCAAGAATCAAGGGTTTTGTTACACATTTTTACTTTGTCCCATCAGAATGAGTAGTATGAGCAAAGCTGGAAAGGCCATGTGGATATATTCATAATAGGTGGAGATGGGGACCCAGTCTCTTCTGGAGTAGATGCTGTATAACAAAACTGAAACAAGTCTTTATATATATACATATATATATATTAGTGGTGTAATGACTCACAAAAACTCATGAAAATAGACTTCATTATAGCAGGAGGATGTGCTTCCTGTGTCTTGATGGAGTTGTCCATTGATGAACATAAACTAGTGTGAAAGGAGCCAGAATGGAGTGTGTCCTCTGATGGGTGAAGTATTCACTCATGCACAGTTGATGCCTCCTAATTAGTTTCTTGAATAAAACAAAACTATAAAGACACCTTTATTACCCCCCCAACATGTGCAACTGTATACCTCTATAGATCTGTCACTAAGTTAAGTCTTGCAGAGCCTCTGTTTAAAAAAAAAAAAAAAAGTGCCTTTTTATTTCTTGTCACATAGTGGGGGCTTCTTTGTTCAGTCATATATAGAGGGTTCCTTCCTGTTTGTAAAATGCTGTCTTGAACTCAGAGCTGAGAGATGACTGTCTGCCTTTCCATTCAGTGCTGGGATGAAAGGCCCAGATATGCCCAGATATGGATTTGTAAGAAAAACACTAGATACTGGACAAATAATGAACTAAAAGTATCAGGAGAGATTTTCACTGGGCTCTTCTGAGAACCCAGTTCCTCCAGTGAAGGGGCTTGGATTCTGCAGTCAAAACTGGAAGCCATATGATCTTGTCTCCTCTGTCTCTGTCTTAGAAATGCATACATTTCTAAGATTTAGATTTTAGCCCTTTACTGGATTAGCAGTCTCTTATATGAATATCACTCTCAGCATGGCAGGTGAAAAGGAAAGAGCCAACCGGGTGGTGGTGGCACATACCTTTGATCCCAATACTTGGGAGGCAGAGATAGGCTGGTCTACAAAGGTACACAGAGAAACTGTCTCAACAATCAAAAAACAAACAAACCAAACAAAACAAAACCTACAGTTTGGGCTGGAGAGATGGCTCAGTGATTAAGAGCACTGGCTGTTTGTTCTTCTAGAGGTTCACTCTCCAGCAACCACATGGTAGTTCACAACCATCTGTAATGAGATCTGGTGCCCTCTTCTGGCCTGAAGGCATACATGCAGGCAGAACCCTATATATTGATAATAAACATCTTTTTAAAAAGTTTGAAAAAAAATGAACGCATTACGAAGTGTGTTTAGAAGTATAATTGAACATTTTTGGGCTAGAGAGATAGATAGTAGTGATTAGAACCCTTGCTGCCTTCTGGATTCAGCTCCCAGCACCCACATAAAGATCTAACATTTTTTTCTCATCCGTACACATCTTTCCTATGTTGTGGATATGCAGTCTTTCTTATTCCAAAGAGGCTCCAAAAGGGGATGACTTTTTGAGCATTACATTCTGCCATTAAAAACCAGTTGTTTTTGAATTAGTATTTTGAAATTAGTCTGGCTGATTTCACACCCTTCTGTTCTCTGATAGGGTAGTTCCTTTCTTACTGTGACTATTTCCTTTTCTTTTTGTTTTTCGAGACCGGGTTTCTCTGGAGGCTGTCCTGGCACTCACTCTGTAGACCAGGCTGGCCTTGAACTCACCAAGATCCGCCTGACTCTGCCTCCTGAGTGCTGGGATTAAGGCGTGTGCCACCAACACCCAGCTGACTCTTTCCTTTTCATCTGCCACGCTGAGAGTGATATTCATGTAAGCTTTCTCATGTTGTAAGTGATGGGTTAATGTTGCAGTTGGGTAAGAGACCCAAAGCATTTCAATAGATGACTCCTTGTTTTCCCCGTTGCCATCAGTCTCCTTGTAGATTTGGTCAAGGATATGGGAGGAAATGGGTTTATGCACAATAATGAGTATTATTTACTGTAATAATACTCAGTTATAGGACACAGGTTTATAAACTTCCCTGTAAGTCATTTATAGACTTGGAGTTGCAATAGAGCTGAAGACACAGCTTTGCTTGTACTTTGACCCTCAGTCAGTTGTGTGCATGCATGCATGCATGAATGTATGTATGTAATGGAAATCCCATTATACTTGATAGGTTTCTTGAAGCTCCTAGCTGGTGGCCACTTGGCTGACTTATAGCTATACTAGATTACCAGATCCTGTTTGTGAAGGTCCCACCCAGTACACTGAATAGAGGGCCATATATGCCATATATGTAACTCTGAGTCCTGTTCTAGTTCTTCTGTAGAATAAATGGCATATCTTTAGAGATTGTTAATCAGGACCACCAACACTTTCCTATGAATTTCTCTGTCCTATGGCAGGGAAAAATGAAATGAAGGTAGGTAGTGATGTGACTCAGACCAAAGCTAAATGGAGGTGAAAAGGTGAACCAGGAAGTTTTCCCACAGACAGGAGCCTACATGCTCTGTATCCACACTTTACTTTCTTCAAAATAAGCTTTCTCAATCAACCTTGCTTCTTTGACAGTTTACATAAAAGTTTATGTGGCCGTTTTTTGCCTGTCATGGGAAAATAACACCCCTAGGAATGCCCACTTTCAGCTCCAAGCTCTCATTGCTTCCTGGAAAAGGATTTGGGAGCCTAGTCTAAATTTTAAAAATAAAATAATGTGTGTATATTGAATGTAATCAAATATTCTTATTGTTTTCAGTATATTTTTGGTGACTTCAGCCCTGATGAATTCAATCAGTTCTTTGTGACTCCCCGGTCTTCAGTTGAGGTAAGAAAAACTGTTTTCATACACATATGTGTGGAAATGATTGACAATTTTCTTTTACTTTGAAAGTCCTAATGCTTAGATGAATAGAGACTAGGTCAGGAGTGTCCTGCACCTGCTTGTTGGCCATTTTCCCATTTGCTTTAAACAAATGTAAGTATAGTTGCACACATACAGTTGAACCCCCATTTCTTCATCCTGTCTGCCTTTCCCAGAGGTAGTGGCTGCTGCGGTGGGCAGCACACTCTGTCTACAAGAACTTTCTAGTGCTATGTGCTTTATGATCATCCCTTTGTAGTTCACTTTAAGTCAGTGGCTGTATTCTGCACCTTTATGATTATACATTTATGCTTTGTTTTTTGTTTAAGTATTGTTTATGTGTATAAGTGTTTTGCCTATTTGTATATGTACCACTTGTATGCGTGGTGCTCATGGAGATCAGAACAGAGTACCAGATGCCCTGGAACTGGAGTTATGGATGGTTGTGAACCATGTTGATGCTGGGAACAGAATTCAGGTCTTTTTTTGCAAAGAGCAGGAAGTGCAGAGCCACCTCTACCTCTGCAGGATCTGCTTTCTGATTTTAATTAGGTCCATCACACACATTGTGTGTATTTGTTGAATGTTGAGGGGCCACCTGTTTGGGTTAGTGGGTTGTGTGATGGGTGTCTCCTATGGCCTTCTATTCCTCAGACACCCCCCCCCCCCCACAGTCTCACTGTGGCCTGGGACTTATTAAGCAGATCAGGTTGGTCTTGAATTCACAGATCAACTTATGTCTGTCCCCTACTCTTGCAAGTAAAATGGGTATTCCCTGGACTAAGTGATGTAGCTTAGGACCTGGCTCTATTCTCTGTATGTTGTGGGCTGTAAAATTTAGTGTAAAATTTTTCTTCTGTTTCTGAGGTCAAGAACTTAGGGGGAAATGGGAGAGTGTAAAGTGTAAAGCATTACAGCTGAGAGATCATTTGTGCCCATCTTAGGTGCTTGCTTTAAAACTTGTACTGGTAACATAGGGAGAAACAAACAGGTAGTTCTGTGTGTGACCTTAAATATTAAAGTTATTTATAAGGATTGCTGTTATTTCCAGATCTGTGCTCTGGTTTATGAGCAATGACTTGAAAGTGTATCTCCCTAGTGGAGAATAGTCAGGTAATTCAATCAATGTGTTTGAGTCCCAGTCATTATCTTACTCCTGGTGCTTGGAAAATGTTTATTCCAGGAGATACTCAGATCTTATGCACCATAGCTCAGTCTGTAGGCACAGGTGGAAACCCTCCAGCCAAGGCTTTAGATTAAGTTTTAAATTTTGTGTATGTGGCTTGTGCACTTGTATGTACACTACCCATGGAAGCTGTAGGTAGTGAATTTCTTGGAGCTAGTGTTATAGGCTGTTGTGAACTGACTGACATGGATTCTCTGCATGAATAGTATGCACCCTTAGCTGCTGAGACATGTCTACCCACCCACACACTCACCCACCCACCCACCCACCCACCCCACGGTGTCTCAAGGGGCTGGCTTTCAGATTAGGGAGTTTCCCGAGGAAGTTTGAGACTGTTTGAGGAAGCTGGAAACATTACCCAATGCAGGCCCCCAGGCTTACACAGTTCTTACACTGGTCCCTACTCTTTCTCCATCCAGCACACCTAAATTCCAGTTATTAACATTTGTGTGGGGAATTACATTTTGTAATTTTGCTGTATAAGATGCAGAATTTTACTGTAGTCTAGGCTGGTCTGAAACTCATCATGGTGATCCTCCTGCCTCAGACTCATTGACCGCTGGGATTCTAGGTATGAGACACCAAATCAGGCACTTTTTGTACTGTAACTTGCTGTAGAATTGGACAGTTTTGATCCATTTGGATAGTTCTATCCTATTGTGCTTACAACATCTGCTACTACAAGGGAATATCTTAATTTGGTGGTAGTTTATTGGGTGGAAGGTGCCACAGGCCTGGACAGCAAAAGTAATCACATTTTTGCCATGCTGGAACACATCCTAGCTAAATTCATTCCATGGCTTGATTTCCTCAGACCAGTAATCAAAGTTTATGTGTGTGAGAGACAGGGGGTGGGGGAAGAGGGAGGGTTTTTTTTTTTTTTTTCCTTTTAATTTCTTTTTTAGGGGTAGGGGGAATTTTGATAGGGTTTCTTTATGTAGCTTTGGAGCCTGCCCTGGAAACTCACTCTGTAGATCAGACTGGCCTTGAACTCACAGATGCACCTGCCTCTGCCTCCTGAGTGCTGGGATTAAAGGCAAGTGACACCGGTGCCATGCCTACCTATTTTATTTTAACTTTTTATATATGCACGTGTCTCTGGATAGAGAGAACAACTTGTGGGAGTTGGTTTTTTCCTTTTATCATGTGGGTCGTCCCAGGGATAGCATCAATCTGGCCATCCTAAAGGAAATAATACTTTTTTTTTTTTTTTTTTTTTTTTGTGGCTGGATTTGGTCATACCCACTTTTAATCCCAGCGCTCAGGAAACAGGCAGGTGGATCTCTGTGATTGTGCTTGGGGTGTGAGTAGAGTGTGAGTCCATTTGTGGAGGTCAAACAGGACTACTTGTGAGTCAGTTGCAGGGATTAAAACTCAGATTGCTAAACTTGTTAGCAAACATTGTTATATGCTGAGCCCTCTCGCTGGTTTCAAAAGTAAAATATTTTAAATGATAGTAGGACTGGAGTTCATTGTGTAGAGAGAGGTCCTTGCTGCCAAGCTTGATGGACTTAGTTCAATCTCTAGGACATATGAGAGAACTGATACCACCACCCTAACCCCAGTCAGTAAATAATAAATGGAATTTTAAAAAGAAGCTTAAATGAAATTTAAGATTTTGATCAGTTAATTAGTTAGAACAGTTAGCCTGGCTTCTGTTTGTTGTCCCAGAAGCTTCTCTAAGTTCTTTGAGTGTTTGGAATCCCTGATCGGTGTCCTCACTGTTACTGTCCTTCTCAGCCATATTGTACATGGTGCTAATGCCATTAACATGTCTTGCTTCACGCGGGGTGACTGTTGAGAAGAACTAGCTTAGGGTTCTGTCCTGAGGTCTTTGGGTGCAGGAGTTTGGCTTGTGCTGTATGGACCTAGAGATCCTATGTATGTACACGACATTACAGGTGAAGTGGTTGTGTGGACTCCTGGGTGTTCACCCTTTCAGTACATGCACTGTCACTTGTCCCACTGAGTTGTATTTAAAAAGTTTCCAATTGTCACACTGATTTTTGTGTGAATGAGTTGATTCATACATAACACCTTTCAATGCCTCCAATCTTTCTGAGAAGCTTCTTGAGATAGCTGCACCACACAGCTTCTGTGATGACAAGTGGAAGGGTTGCCTGTATATCAGGGTTGCCTCTTGGCACCATCTCCTCTGCAGTTGGGTTACTTTCCAGTCACTGATTTTCTTGATATTTGTCATTGCCATCTGGGGAGAGAACCTAGCACTTCATTACCCAGGGATGGGTAAACTTAACCTCTTAACCACTGTATTGACTAGCCAAGAGTCCATTGGAGACATGAGCCTAGGAGACTGCTAAAACAGCAGACAAGGATAGGCATAAGCACCAGCTAGAGACCCCAGGCTCTAGACTGTTGGACCACATTCTGAATTGTAGTAATGAGACAGAAATGCTGCAGCAGGTGTTCTTTGTTTTGTCTATCTACTCTCAGAAATCCCTAGCTCAAATAAATGTGGAATGGACCAGTTATCACAAAGTAGCATGGACACTGTAAGAAGGGAGCCACAGATTCCAGGCCCTTCCTCTGCCTACATCTGCTGTTTGCCAACCAACAATCAAAAAGAGATTTCTACTAATGGATGGACAGACAGCATAGGGTCTGGGCTCACCACCAACTGTCATCTTGTAGGAGAAGGGAGGGAGAAAGGAAGGAAGGAAGGTACCACTAGAAGTGCATTTTCAGTTTTCCAGCGTCATTTTCAGTATATTTAGTAATGCTAAATAATTGAAAGCATTTATAAACTGTTGGATTCAGATTTTGGGGAAAGTGATGTCATGAGATAGAAGTATTGAGTTAGGCAGTGGCTTATGTTGAGTCTTAATACTGTTAAGATTGGTTTTCTGATTTCTTGTGCAGCTCCCTCCATACAGTGGGACTCTGTGTGGCATACAGACTGAAGATGAACTACCAGATGGTAAGCTGGGTCAAATGTGCTAGGTGTGCATGAAACCTGCAAACATTTCCTCCCTTGGTGGTTCATACCTGTTGTTTGTTTTCATTGTTGGGGTGGGCTGTGATGTGTGGCGAGGCCAACTTCATGGAAACAGGATCCTGGGGATTGGGCAAAGGTACAGGCTTGCTACTTGCTGAGCTGGTTTCTTGGTCTGGTCATGTCCATCAGGCTTAAATTTGTGATCCAGCTTAGCCTTAGAAGCTAGGGAAGAAGGCCTGCAATACCAGACCAGCTTGAGTCAAATTTCTTTAGAGCTTGACGCTTCTGCTGTGAACTGCAGTTCACTCAACTACCAAGTGTGTGCTATGTTCCAGAGCACTGGGTGAAGCAAGTTCTGGTCAGGAGAGACAAACCCTGGTGTCTTGGGTGTGTCACCTGCCTGGCTGTGCTTAGTCCTCCTGTTTCTTCTGGCAGTGAGCCTTTGTGTTGTCAGCTGAGGGCCACATGGAACTGTTGTAGGTTGGTGTTTGTATCCTGTCAGTCCTACATTCCTGGGCATTTAGGTAAAATTCTCATTTCCTGCATGAGCTCTGACTAAGGTAGGTGCAGTAGTGTTTGTTGCTGAGCAGTCATCACAGGCTATAGTTACATGTATAGTCATATAAGGGGTTCTTGGGGGTGCTTTCCACTTGTCTCAGGCACACTCAGTGTTTGTGGCTGGTAGCTACAAGCATCACGGATTGGATGCTACCTGGAAGCATCATCTTGGAAAGATTGCAGCCTCCAGGTATAATAGAAGCCATTGCTCTTTGGTAATACATTTCAACATGAAGAAACTACTCATTGGTCAGCTGCAAACAGATGCAAACTTGCTGTGGTCTTATGCCATCCCAGCTCAGCTGTGAGCATCCTTCTCCTCCTTTATCTAGTTAACATGTCACTGGCTTCTCCCTGAACCTGTTCCCTCCTCCTTTCCCTCCCATGAAAAGGCTTTTCAAATCTTCCAGAATAAAAACATACTTAGAACACAATTTTGGGGCTAATATTCTGTCCTTGAAATGCAGAATTTGAAATTTATTGCTACTTTGTACCAGACTTGAAGGCATGTTTCCTTTTGTCAATTTCGCATGCATGACTATTTCACCAAATATGAAAACAGTGGTTTTCTATGTTACTTATTTGATTCTCAAAGTCTTTCAGAGACATGTATTAAGATATACACTGTCCACCTTGAGTGTGTGGGAGGTATAGGCTGAGGTTAACTGGAAAGAACACATTGGAGCTTGCTTTATAACATTGTTGCATACCTGTAATCCTTGGTCCTGGAACAGCCTGGGCTACACAGTGATTCTTGCTTCAGATTCCCCCAAAATTCAATCCTTCACTACTACTGGGGTCAACCTAGTGTGACTTGAGTTACTAGCTACTGTTGAGGCAAGAGTTACAGCTTCTCATCTTAGCATAAAGTAAGCATGAGTAAGTTTGTTTGCAGGGAGTGACATGATAGTCACTGGGTAGTCCAGCCTGGAATTTGGGACATCTCATGCCTCTCAGTTCTGCCTGCTAGGATTGGGATTGCAGGTGTGAGCTAGCATCCACCCCCCCCCCCCCAATAAAGCAAGATGGGATTAAAGGATGCTGTCTACCACTGAGCTGTTTGTATAAGAAATATTTTTAAGCAGTAACATACTTATTTGTTTAGACAGTGTGGGTTCCACTCCAGTACTGCAAATCACATCCCCACTAATTTTTTAGTTACAAATTTAATTTCTAGCCTCTGTCTTTTGAATGTCTACTTACCCAGATAAACACAGGTAAGGACAGGCATCTATTTTTCAGCTGCCCATTTACTCTTGTTTTATAGATGTCATTTTCAGCAGATTTGATAGACATAAAGCCTATCATAAGCTGTTTCAGAAAAGGTGTCACCTCTCAAAGAGGCTGAATGATTTTGATACTATGTAGCTTATACCCTGTGCTTGGAATGAACATTGACTGATTATTTCTTCTCAGCAGGACAAGAACATCAGAGGATTGAGTTCGGTGTTGAAGAAGTCATCAAACCAAGTGCTAGTTTGCCGAGAACCCCTACGTACAGTATTTCAAGCACCTTGAATCCTCAGGCACCTGAGTTTATTCTTGGTTGTACAACTTCCAAAAAGACCCCTGATGGTGTGGGAAAAGATGAGAACTACAGTTCTATTGACCAGTACCCAGGCACAGCCCTGGCCCTGGAAAACAACTCGAACATAGAGGCAGAAGCTTCGGAGAATGATGGTGGTGCTGGCGGTCTTGGTCAAAGGGAGCGTAAGAAGAAGAAGAAGCGCCCCCCTGGGTACTACAGTTACCTGAAAGATGGTAGTGATGAGGGCGTTTCCCCAGCTGCCCTGGTCAATGGCCATGCCAATTCAGCAGTCACGAACAGCGTGGGTGTGGAGGATGCTGAGTTCATGGTCAATATGCTTCCTTCAGTTACTCCCAGGACTTGTGACAGCCCTCAGAATCCCATGGACTTCATCAGTGACCCTGTGCCTGACAGTCCTTTCCCCAGAACACTAGGTGGTGATGCCAGGACTGCAGGGCTGCTCGAGGGCTGCGGTGGAACTGACTTTGAGCAACCCTGCCTCCCTGCAGACAGCCTTCTAAGGACAGCTGTGACGCAGCCCTATGTTGGCACCGATACTACTGAGAACCTTGCAGTTGCTAATGGAAAAATACTTGAATCCTTGGGCGAGGACACTGCTGCTAATGGGGTAGAGTTGCACACTGAGGAGAGCACAGACTTGGGCCCTGCAAAGCCTGAGAGCCAGTCACCTCCTGCTGACAATGTGCTCTCTGCCTCTGGGGCCATTCCCATTAGCCAGCCTGTAAAGTCTTGGGCTAGCCTCTTTCATGATTCTAAGCCCTCTTCCTCCTCACCTATGGCATATGTGGAAACTAAGTGTTCGCCCCCTGTCTTATCTCCCCTGGCTTCTGAAAAGCAGGTGGAAGTCAAAGAAGGGCTTGTTCCAGTTTCAGAGGATCCCGTAGCCATAAAGATTGCAGGTACAGTTACAGAGTGGAGATGGGATCAGGTCTCAGGGACACACTGTAGTGTATTGGTCATCACAGCGGTGGTAGCTGACCTATATAGTAACCGGAAGTAAAGGACATGTATGCATTATTTATTATCCAGTTGTAAAAGAATATATAGAAAGGTTGAAAGGGTGCCATGCCTTTATGTAAGTGGAAAAACCTCATGGTTTTTTTTTTTTTTTTTTTTTTTTTTTTTTTTTTAAAGCAACATTTCTTTCTTATTGACAAAACTTTCTTTGTGCTTTAGAGTGGGAATGTGTCATGAGTATGATGATCCTCCTCAGTTGGTCCTCAGTTTGTACTCTACACCAGTATAGAAAAATGCATTAAAAAATGATGCAGCCCTCTTTCTTCTCTTCCCTTAGCTCAGGGTAGGAAGTCCAGATATAAGAGCTGGATGCTGAGGAGCAAAAGCATGTCTTGCAGTCCCCAGCTCTGGAGTGCTCAGAGTCCCAGCAGTAAGGTTTATCCTCTTGGTGGTTGGGGGGGGGGTGACACACCTGTAATTCCATCACTCAGGAGGCTGAGGCAGTGGGGATGGCAGCCTTACTTCAGTAGCAAGATCCTGTCTCAAAAAAAGCTAAAACAAAGATGAGAACATCTGTATTGAGTTATAGTATTCTGAGTATTCTTAGTGTTCTGAAGTCTTTTCAAATGGGAAAATTGGTAGAATTTTTTTATTTTTGTTTGGGCTTACTATTACAGCCCAGGCGGGTTTTGAACTTGCTTTTCAGCCCAGGCTGTCTTGTCTTCAAAGTGCCACGTTTGCTTCCACCTCCCGAGCGCTTGGACCACAAGATGTGCTCCTGGATGCCATTGGGATAGTTTATTATTTTTTTATTTTTAATTTTTATGTGTATGGGTGGTGCCTTCGTGTATGTCTAGGCACTACTTGTGTATTTGTACCAGCGGATGCCAGAAATGTGAATGCTGGGAAGTCCAGGTCCTTTGGACAAGTAGCCAGTGCTAAGAGCTGCTGAGCCATCTCTGGTCCTTTGGGATCATAGTTTAAAGAAAAGTGATTTCTTCTTTGCTTTTTATTTTAATTAAAAAGATTTATGAAAGATTTACTCATTTTATTATGTGTGTTTTGCCTGCATGTGCGTCATGCATGGGTGCTGGGAATTGAACCCATATCTTCTACCAAGAACAAGTACACTTAACCTTGCCATCGCTCCAGTTCATTTGTCTTTTCAGTTCTTTGTAACACACAGCTTTCCACAGATTCTAAGGCTTTCTTCGTCTGGGTACTGGGATTCTAGCTGCCCTGCTAGATTTTATTCATATATATGATATGTATCTCCTAGAATGTATTTGCAGGCCTGGGGAGATGCCTCAGTAGGTAAGATCACTTGTTATGGGAACATGAAGATCTTCGTTTGAATCTTCAGCATCCATGGCAAAAAAGCCAGATATTGCCAGTGTATCTGTAACTCTACTATTAGGAGTCAAGAGACAGGTAGATTCTGGGACTTGGTGGCTAGCAATCTAGTGTACCCAGCAGGTGGATCTATTTGACTTCTAGACCAGTCAGGGCAAATCTTTATAGCAAAAGACTGCCAGCTCTAATCAGAGGTCTGAGGGGTAGATTGTCTTGGGGGGGGGGGATTGTTTTTGTTTTTTTCCCCCCAGACAGGGTTTCTATGTATAGCCCTGGTATCCTGAAATATTCTGACAAGACTGGCCTAGAACTCAGATCCTCCTGCCTCTGCCTCCTAAGTGGTGGGATCACCACCAGTACCCAGCCATGTTAGCTATTTTTAGTTGAAGTAACTGAATCAAGAAAGAAAAGGAGTCCTGAAACTGGTGTTTGCTGGCTGGAGGGCAGTGTCTGCACACCACTGTCAGGAGTAAGTAGGACAACAAGCTGACTGCTGTGACTCGCTTGTGAGTACATGCCTCAGGAGACTGTGTGATGCTTTGCTTGTCACTGCACCTGGTCTTTCTGGAGTTTTAGAGGAGCATATTATGAGAGGATTCCAGAGTACAAGGTTGTATTTCATATTTGGTCTTTAAAGCTATGCATCAACTTTCAAGAGAACTTGGTGAGCTGAGGTTTGTCCAGCCATGTGGAGTAGGTACTTTATTTACTTACTCCATTCATGCCATTGTAAGCTGAGGCTACCCAGAGGAATGAATGTAATTGTAGTTTTGGTGGCTTAGAACTGACCTAAGACCTTGTAGTACTGGTAGTTTAGGTTACTTTGCTTTTTTGTACCTGGGTTAGGTAGCCCAAAGTTCTTCCCAAGAGGTAAGAGTGAAGAAAGGAAAGCCTAAAAGTGTGGCTGGCGGTGGCTGGGCATCAATGGTTAGGTTAGATGCTAGAGTATGGTTAAGACACTGGGATGTGGCAGGTTCTGGGTGGCTAGGCAGCTGTTGGTCTTTCAGAACCAGTGCAGGCTCCACTTAAGACTTCTGCCCTCAGATCATGTGAAAACAAACCATGTAGAGAATAAGGCTTGAGTTTCCATGAAAACTCAGTGCTGGTCACTATCTACTTGTAGGTGGTCTGTGACTCGTTTACAGTTATGTATTTCTACAGTTATGTATTTCTTGAGATTTAAAAAGGATATTCAGTGATTTAGTTTGGTGTCAACAGATTACATAAGAAAGCTAGATGGACTCGGCTCAAGTTTTACCAAAGTGGAGACATTGTTTTCAGTTTATTTTTATGAATATTGGCACTAACATGTAACTAAGTTACATCGCGGCCATGTTCCCAAAATTGCCTTGAATGAAAAGTTTCTGGAGAATTTGGTGGTGTTGCAGCCAGTTTCTAAGGGAATATAAAGCTTTAGAAGCTAGCAGTGATGACCTGAGCGCAACTCCCTCTCTCCACAATTACAGGCTTGTGTGTGTGTTCCTCAGTAAAGTAACTGAGCTGACCCCAGGCAGAAGGGCATCAAGGGCCTCAGCTGTTGGTTGTGGCAGTCAATTGAAGGAGCAGGTTCCCCATTCAAGCACAGAATGGTAACAGAGCAGGAACAGTGGGTGTGAGGTTATGATCTTAACCATGGAATCACTTTTACAGCTGCTCAAATGGTGATGAGGGTTACTCTCTATGAGAGTAACAAATGCTCTCCAGCCCCAAGAGAACAATAGAATAGTCTTTAAGGAAAAGTCTAGCTATCTCTTTATAGCTGATTGTAAAGAGCACCTGGGGGCAAAGAAAGTTTGAGCACTGTCCTGGCTGCTCTGCATCTTGCTTTGTATTTGTGTACTTGCAGTTATTGAACAGGCCCCTAGGTGGTGCTAAGAGATAAGCTTACTGTCCTGGAAGGAATATAGAAACTGACCTGCTGCCTCTTCAAGGAAGAGCAGTGTAGAGAAACCAACCTGAGCATGTGGTTTCCCAGTCAATGTCCAAGATGAGACATTATAGTTGGCTTCAGGTTGGATGTGTTCTCTTGTCCACGGAGCTGTACAATCCCCAAGCTTGAAGTCACTGTGGCCCACAGTGCTCTTTCTTGAAAAAGTGAAAGAAACTTGTTCCTAGGTCTTAGTGCCCAGCTTGCCTAGCTTCCTTTTGAAAAGGAATTCTCTTTGTCATAGGTGCTGGGTTGTTTATGACGCAGTGCACTCTGAGCACTGTCTCTAGCCATATGTGCGCACACGCGTACCCACACGCCTACTAAAAGCATCTGGGGGGGGGGTGTCAGGACAATTTTTAATAAGTTGATTCTTACTATCACCTTTTTTTTTTTGTTTTAAAAAGCGAGTCTTGTTTCTGTCACTTCACTTCATTCCGGTTAGGTGTCCCCATGGCTATGGGACAATTTTCATCTCAGCCTGCTTTCTCTCCGTAGGAATGCTAGGGTTTGTTTTGTTTGAGCCAGGGCTTCTCTATTTAACCTTAACTGTAGCTAGCCTGAACTCCCAGATAACCCACCATCCTCTTCTCCAAAGACAAGCATCCCCATATCCATATCATTTCTTTTTAATGTATTTTCTGCTTCACCTCTCTCCCTCTCTCCTTCACTTCCTTAAGATTTCTTTACTATGTAAACACACACCAGAAGAGGGCACCAGACTTCATTATTATAGATGGTTTTGAGCCACCATGTGGTTGTTGGGAATTGAACTCAGGATCTCTGGAAGAGCAGCCAGTACTCCTAACCTAAGCCATCTCTCCAACTCAAACTATTTTTGGGGGTGGGGGTGGAGATGGAGACAAGGTCTGTGAAACAGCTCTGGCTGTCCTGGAACTCACTCTGTAAAACAGGCTGGCCTCAAACTCACAGAGATCCACCTGCATTCATCCCCGAGTGCTGAGATTAAAGGTGCGCACCCCTCTGCTTGGCCTGCTTCACTTTTCTAAAATGTGGATTTGAGGAATCTGAACTCAGGCCATTGGGCTGTGACCTCTTTCCTGTCTCTGCAGCTCATAGTTGAGGCCACTCAGAACAGTGGGCATGAGAGGAAAGGAAGAAGGTTCTTGTGGATCTCTGTGCCTGTCCCTTGTCATCTTTTCCACTTCTTCCAGTGCCTGTGACCAAACAGGTACAAATGTCAAGTTACCCCATCCCTTCTCCCACCTTCAATCTGAGAATACCACCAGGAAAATTCAGAAAGCTGTTTGGCCACATTCTTAGTTCTTCCCATCTAACTTCTTAGCCAAGCATCCCATTGAGCAGTTCACACTGGCTCTCCACTCTTAACCCAAACCTCTGACTCCTTCCTGTTAATTCACTCTGTGTTATTGTGGGAGTATTGGGAATCTGGCACACTGATTCCTGAATGTAAGTCACCATTCACAGTATTAATACCTGCTGAGCCAAAGGCTAGGCTCACAGTCGCATCACTATACAGTGTCATTTCTGTTCCTTATGGGACACCCTTACCTCACTGTTTGTGCTTCCTCAGCCTCTAGCTGCATTCTTAGTGTGTTTGCAGACCTAGATTGGGCTAAGTACACTCCAGACCCCTCCAGCTAAACCTGCAGTATGTGGTGCTGTCAAGCTCAACTGTGAGCTCTACTCATTACTGGTCTATGCAATGGCCTAAGAGTGGTGCCAATTGCAATCTTGTGTGCCACACAGGATGAATTAGCTGTTTATTCATCCAGAGGGCAGCCATGGCAGGAAGGCAAACCTCCTTTCTAATTGTATAAAAGATTGCCATTGATTGCTGCTTTGAAACCTTGTACCATTGTATTATGGTGTAGTTGTTGATAGTGCACAGATTTTAGGTTACTGTGACTATACCTCCCCTATACTGTGGCATATAGTGGGAGGTGTGGGTTTTTGTCATACAGCCTAGGGTCAAGTAGGAATTGATGGGAAGAGGGAAAAAGTGATGTTTACAGTACAGTGAGCATGTTTGTGAAGGTATCATCAGGCCTAGGAGCACGTGCCAGTAACTGCTGGACCATCTAACTAGTCCGCAAACAAACTTTCAGCAGAATTCACCTTACTTAGTGGAGAAGAAAGAACCAGGTAAGTAGATCCACAGTTGCGTCTGCTTAATCCTGTAACTCAATTTTCTCATCTGTAAGATTGGGGTATCAGATGCTTCCTTGGCAAAGTTGCAGTTTATATGAATGTTAATGGGCAACTCCAGGCATTGGTGGGAGCTGTTAGCATGTGCCTTTAAGTACTACCTCTGTCTTTGACTAAGATTGGAACATTTACACACTTGGTATCACTATGTGCATTCTTCTGCTTCTCTGGTGCCTATACTTTTAAATACTTACTGTGCTTCCTGCGCTGGAGGAAAAGAGGAGGAAGACTGCGTGTGTGTGTGTAATTTTCTCGTTTGATTTTTGGACACCAGTCTGGGACCTGCCAGTACAATGTTTTGATTCTTGTTGTCATGTATAGAGATGAATATCACATGTGCCCATTAGTGTTTCATGCCTGTTTAAAAGTAGTTTAAAAGTAAAGGGGGCATCATGGTGTGACCCTGAATTGGAGCCTAGGTTGTGTGTTGATCATAGTCATACTGTTCCTATAGAGAACAGACTGGGTATGAGGGAGTATGTTCACTGTAGCCATTACTATTACAGGATTCATTATGATACCTTACTATGTAGACCAGGCTAGAAGGTAAAGTGAATGCCATGCAAGGCTAGGTTTGTTTTTGTTTGTTGTCTTGGAGATAGTCTGAAGTTTCACACTGGTCAAGAACCTACATACTGTATTAGCTGAGGCTGTCTGTGAAATCCCGATTCCCAAGTGCTACAAAAACAGGGGAGTGCCACTGCTCATGACTTCTTTCTTTCATTTTGAAATGCATTTCTAGTTAGGCCTAATGACATGTACTGTTGCCCAGTGCTGAGGCAGAAGGATTGCTTTGAGTTTGAGATTAGTTTGGGCTGCATATAGTTATCAGGCCAGCCAAAGCTGCGCACCAAGACCGTATCTCAAAATCCAATGGTGGTAAAGATGGTTCCTTGTGGAAACAGACATTTCTTTTTTGACACAGGGTCTCACTGTGTAGCCTTGGCTGGCCTCACACAGAAATTTGTTAGTCTCTAGATGTACACCACCATGTCTGGCTTCATAGTTTTCTTAAAACTGGAAAAAGTGGTTTCCGGGGGGGAATCTGAATAAAGAAAGCCACCTCTGAATGAAGTGAGGAGTCAGTACAGAATGAATAGCTGATTTGACTAGAGTTATCATTTAATGTGTGGCCATCAAGCAGCTACTGTAATATGCCAGGAGACACACATCTGCTCCTGGGTCCCTTTGAAGTGGCTAGGGACCTTGCTGTGTTAGTGAGGTACACTGTCAGCCTTCATGTGGAAGCCAGTGTCTTCCACATCTGCGCTCTGCTGCTAATGATTGTGAGTTTCTGTCGATTGTGCTTCCTTGTATATACTCACAGGAAGAGGAGTAAATGTTGATCTTTGGAGTAAAATAATTTTTGAACAATTCCTCATTCAGTAACAGGCTTTAATATTAAGGGCTTTCTGAGGATACATGTTCTCCTAAAGAGATCTTTTGCATGCATTCTGAATCTGCTGGCTGGAATGCTGTTAATGTCTTCATTTGCTTCTTCACTCTTGCAGAGTTACTGGAGACTGTAACCCTAATACATAAGCCAGTGTCACTGCAACCCCGCGGGCTGATCAATAAAGGAAACTGGTGCTACATTAATGCCGTATCCTTCCTGGATGCCATCCTCAGGCCTGGCCACCATGGTGCTCTTCTCTTTGGGTGCATTTGACTTAGTGAAACTTATACAGGGCAGCTGGCCTGGATCCTGAACACAGAGACTGGGTCATCACTTAGTCTGCTTATGCCTACCATAGTCGGACAGAATCAGGCATGTTCTGTTCTCATTGGAGTGGTTGTAGGTAGTAGGATAGAATGACCACTCAGAAAGAACTGGAAGCTTTGCTCTAGCTATTGGGAGCATCTTGCTCAGCTAGGTTTTTGAATGTCACCCTGGCCCACAGTAGATCCTTTACATGGCCATTACAAGGCAGCAACATCTTATTTGGTTTATTCCTTTTGTGTTTACATATCCGAAGTAGTTGAGTGTCCTTTGCTTATCTCGTTTTTATATGACTTTAGAAAGTTTGCTGTGTCTGTTTCATTTCCTTTACACTTCCTTACTGCGATATTTAGACCCTGCAGGCATTGGTAGCTTGCCCTCCGATGTATCACCTGATGAAGTTCATTCCTCTGTACTCAAAAGTGCAAAGGCCTTGCACATCAACGCCCATGATAGATAGCTTGTAAGTAAAGTGCTCACACATGTGACAGTGGTTGGGGGGCTCTCCCTGTGGTGGTGGGAACTTGAACAGTTTGAACTGAGTCCAGCTCTGTAGTCTAGATTTTCTAGAGATAAGTGCTGCACCCTTTTAATTTGAGTATGAGTGTTTTACCTGTATGTGTAAGTGTACCACATGTGTGTAATGCCGGTGGAGGTGACTTTGGATCCCCTGGAATAGACAGTTGTGAGCTGCCGTGTGGGTGTTGAGAACTGAACCTGGGATCCCTGAAAGAGCAGCAAGTGCTCTGGACCGCCTAGCTACCTCTCCAGTCTCTGGAATTCTCTTTTAACAGATACTGATGGGATTTTATATGGAAGTTAACCCTCATTGTAATTGAGCATTGTGTTTCTTCAGATTCAGTAGAAAACCTTGTATTGTTTATCAGATCTAAATACCATTTAAAAATGCTCTCAAAATATGTATAGATTCCATGTAAGAATGCACTGGGTACTGTCACATTAGTTGACATGGACTGCAGAGCTGCTGGTTAATGTGCTGTTGTGCCAAGGCCTTCTAATGTGCTCTGCTTTACTTCCCCTTTTCTGTCTCTATTTAGTGTTCGGCTAATGAATGAGTTTACTAATATGCCAGTACCTCCCAAATCCCGCCAAGGTGAGTAAGTACTAGTATACCTTGTCATTGGGAACATGGAGCTTGGGAACAAACATGATAAATGTGTTCTTGTAGGAAAGAATATGTCCTTTTAAATCTAGGTGTTTGCCCTGTACTGATCTCAGCTTCCTGCCTGGGTGGTGGGAGTTTGGATGGCTTTGCTTTCTGTCCTTTAAGTTACCAGAATGTCTGTTTCTTTCTCTGTTACAGCTCTCGGGGATAAAATGGTGAGAGATATCCGCCCAGGAGCCGCCTTTGAACCCACATATATTTACAGACTCCTGACAGTTATCAAGTCGAGCCTGTCTGAAAAGGTCTGGGGTGCTCTCTGGTAGCTGGGAGGGGGCACATTCCTGTTGTGGAGGCAGAGGCAAAAAAGAGAACCTTTGAATTCAAGTCCAGCCTGTGCTACACTGTCAGTGTTGTTGGTCCTGTTTGTGTGTATCACATGTCCTGTGCTGTAACTTAATGAGTGTGCCAGTCATCCCATTTAGTGGCCAGGCACAAGGACTGAGTCTCATTAGCTCTGCCAATCCTGGTATTAGGCGGACTCTGTCCCTTATTGCTGCACTGTACTTGAGTAGAGTGGAGATTCTTAGTCCTGGAGTGCCCAGCCTCTATCTTATTCATGCTCAGACTATAGCAGCTATTTCATCAACTTGCCTTTTCCATATTGTGCATATTGTGCATATTGAAAGTGAGGAAAGGAGCCATAAAGCCCTGAGAGCTGTTGAGAGTGGCTGAGGCATTTGTCTAAGCAGTCAGCTGGTCTTTTCAGTTCCAAGTCTGTAATGTATACACTGGTATGAACAGTTTAAATGCTGTTAAAGGAAACTTACTCAGACAGAAAAAAAAATTTAATGAAGTTTTATGGAAGCTACATTGCTTTAAATAGAGTGAGTTTTCAGCTGTACAGGAGATCCCAGCTACACAGCTTTTTTTGTGGACTTGGACTTTTACTTGGGATTCAGGTGTTAGCGATTCCCTACCAAGGGTGGGGATTAGAAACAGTCTAGGCAACAGAAAGGGAAGTGTGAGAATGACAACATGCAGATGCTGTAGCCCCCTAGAGGAGGCCCAGGTGCCAGGGAGCAGAGGCAGAAGGAGGCTCAGGGTTGGCTTCCTAAAGCTGAGCCTCTCTAATCTGTATTCCAAAGCAATGCTTATGGAGTTAGGTACATTGAAATCAAATGGAGCTATTACTGTAAGACCAACCTCAAGCTTGATTTCCTAGCAGAAGCTGGGGCAGCTAGTATGGACATAGTATTGCAGCACACAGAAAAACCTCAGATGCTCCCATTTGTGCCACCCCAGTCAGTACCCAGCCATCATGTATTGAATGGTGGCCCATGTGGTTGTTAGACTCTGAAGAAGCTCCCCAAGAACTATCAGGCTTAGAAAATTCCAAATGCCTACCAGGAAATAAGCACCTTGGGTACAAAACTGCTTAGTTAGACACTGTCCCTTATCTATTCTTGCAGTGATGGAACTTTCTGAAGTCCAGGTTCTCAGATACCAGCCAAGGGCCAGCTCAGTGCAACCCCACAACCTCTATGTAATCTGGTGTGCGCGCGTGCGCTCTGGCTATGCTGGGAAATGAGTCCAAGCAATAGCCACTGATCTCCACTCTTCTATTCTAGTGGCAGTCTCTGAGTTGCATAGGCTGGCCTTGAATACATGCCCTCCTATACATGATGGGTTATATATACCTTTTGCTGCATGTATGCATAGTGTAACACAACACTGCTGCCATGTCCATGCATCCATTTGGAGAGTGTAGAAATCCTAGGTGCATGGTGGAGGTGTGTGGCTGGTGACTGGAGTGTCTCTGATCTGTCCTCTCAGTGCTAGTCACTGCTCGTGAGTGTGACTTAGGGCTTGTATTGTGAAGTGTACCTTAGTGAGTGTCTTTTTCTTGGACTGGGGAATTGTTGTTTTTCAAGACAGGGTTTCTCTGTGTAGCCCTGGCTGACCTGGAACTTTACTCTGTAGACCAGGCTGACCTCAACTCTAGAGATCTACTTTCTTCTGCCTCCTGAATGCTGGGATTCACCACCAAGCCTGGCAGTTTTTTCTTAATTAACATTATAAAGTAATATGTCTAGAAATTTAGTTACAAAAACCAAACAGAATCACAGAAGAGAAGACCTCACAGCATCTCTTGGGATTTGCATGCACCAGTCTGGAAGGTCTCATCAAAAGTAGCTCCATCCAGGTGCTGTGAGTCCTGTACAATTCACTGCAGTCAGTGAGAATTAACACGACCTTCTCTGACCTCAGGGCCGACAGGAAGATGCTGAGGAGTACCTAGGCTTCATTCTGAATGGACTTCATGAGGAAATGCTGAGCCTGAAGAAGCTCCTCTCCCCAACTCACGAAAGTAGGTTCCTGTGTGTGTGAGACTACCTAAGAGTTAGTTGTTCCTTATAAAGGAAGGTTGCATGTCTGTCTACAAACACACACACCCAGAACTCACATGTCTGTCAACAGTGCTTATTTCTTACTACCTTAAGTATAGAGATGAGAAAGTTAGGTTTGGATAATCGGAATTTATCCTGTTCCATGTTTTAACTTTTACTCCAACAAGATTGAGGCCTTAGTTAATGTTCTTTTGCTAGGTTAAAACATGGATCCAGAGCAGTGGGACTAAAAGGGTTTACTTTGGCTTCCAGTTATATAGAGATAGAGTTCATCACAGCATAATGGCACACACACAGAACAAGGCTATAGACTCTCACAGCCTAGCCCCCATGATGTACTTCTAGTAAGGCTCTACTGCCAAAAGGTTCCAAATCCTTCCAAACAGTGTCACCAGTCAAGCTTACAGTTCCTCACATGATATCTGAAATACAGAGAAGCAGAACAAGTAGGTAGAGGATCTGTAGGTGTGGGCTCACACTCTACGTGTATGCCTTTCTCCTTAATGATGCAAAGCCACAGCCACACACTCTGCACTACATAGCCAAACCTTCTGTAATTTTTTCAGTTGTTCAAAGAATGCCTCTGGTTCCTTGTTTTGTTCTAATTGAGGACCAGTCTGTCCTCAATCAAATTCATAGAAATTTGTTTTCTTATCTCCTGAGTACCCCACAACTGCCAGTTTTAAAAATCATATTGTGTGTATACGGAGTGGTGGTTGTGGGTTTGTGCACGTGCAGTTGTATATTCACAGTTGGATTCCATGGCAAAGTGGAGGTCGGGTAATTTATAGGAGTTGGTTGTCTTGAAGTGGTACCAGGAATCAATCTCATGATGTCAATCCTAGGGCATGTGATTTCACCTGATGAGCCTCTGACAGATCTTTACACCCTTTTCACAGCGATGGCTTAAGACCATCAGAAAACAGATCTTTACATTATAATCCATAACAGTAGCTGTTATGAAGTAGCAATGAAAATTGTTTTATGGTTGGAGGGTCCCACAACATGAGGAACTATATTAAAGGGTGGCAGCATAAGGATGGTTGAGAACCACTGTTCTTGCAGAATCTGTTTACTTGGTTTTTTTTTTTTTTTTTTGTTCTTGAAAATCGTAGCCTAAGCAGATCCTTTCCTTTTCAGAACTTACTGTTTCCAATGGACCCAGAAGCCACTTGATTGAAGACAAAGAGCAGGAAGGCACAGGCGAAGGGAGTGAAGACGAGTGGGAGCAAGTGGGTCCCAGGAATAAGACGTCTGTCACCCGGCAGGCTGATTTTGTCCAAACACCTATCACGGGCATTTTTGGTGGACACATCAGGTGATTTTTTCCATGTTGCCATAAGGGGGTTGTGAGGTGTTTGGAAGCGTCCTGCCATCTGCTTTGTCAGTTGCTCTTCCTAATGCTCTGCTACCCGTGCCCCTGTGCCCCAGTGTTCATGTGGGCTCTTCCATCCCTCACTGTTTACAGTCTGGTTCAGTTGTGATTAAAGTCTATAGCATGATGTTGGTTCAATGGCTGCCACAGAGAACTGGTCAGCACATCTGCCTTCCTGGTTCACTCCCTGTTTTAGACAACAAGACAAACGGTTGGACCTATACTTATTTGCTCCTAGACCTGTATACCCTATAGGTCTGATTGATGCATTTTGTCCTCTGACTTCTCTTCCAGTTTTCTTCCACCACTTTGCCATGGTGATGGGTTGGGTTTTTGTGATTGTTTGGCCTCTTTTTTCTTTTTCTTTCTTTCTTTTTTTTTTTTTTTTTTTTATAACTTATTTTATATAACCAAGTCCATTTATAGACAATATTTGGGAATTTGGACGTCGTTCTTTCCAAACTACTTCCTGCTGGTAATGGGCACTTTGAACTCCCTTTTTTATATCTATAGCAGTGTGAGCACATACGGTTTTCCTTTTGTGATCAGCTCAGTTCATTTCTAAAACCATCCATGTTCTAGCAAATGTCCCATCTCCTTTCCCATTACTCTTTGAGTGAGTGTAGCCACCGTGGTAGTTTTATCCATTTGCTTTTGGATGGGCACAGGTAGTTCATCCAGGAAAGAACTATTAATGGACTAGACACATGCAGATACCAGAATCTCAGAAGCTAGAAAGTGAAGTGAATCAAGTGAGGCTTTTCACACAGAAAGACATATACAACCCGAATCTGTACCAGTCCTTCAGTCAGCGTGTGACATCTCCTGGGTGCTGTATTTGAAAGATACTCTCTTCTCCTCCTCAGGCATCCAGAGCCAGCTCTTGTATGCTCAGCAACAGATTGAGCAGCTTTAAGCAGGAAGTCTGCACTCCCTGCCTCAGAAGCTTGTTTCTGCTTCTGTGTTTCCATTGGGGAGGACTAAGGAGCCAGTTGAGCTGCCCTGTAACATTGCATAGGTCCCCTTTTCCTCTAGGGTTCTGGAGTCTTTGTGGAGTGCCATGGCATGGCCATTGTCACTGTGACTTGTCTCGGCAGACATGTCCCCACCCCGAGATGAGCCATGGTGGCAGTGGTAGCAAAAGGCTCGATTGATGAGCAACAGCAAAAAAATACTGGGACAGCCTGGAGTTAGGACTGTGAAGATGCCTCAGGGTGATGAGGGGACAGTGAGAGGACAGGCAGTAGCACATCTTTTGCACTAGGGGCAATATGAGCTGCTGGGCCACAGCCAGCCAGCCAGATCCCAGATGTGCCTGAGAGTAGTGGCAGTGAGGAAAATCAGGTTCCCCTGAAAGAGACTACTGTTAGGCCGCTCTCCTCAGCTTCTGTGGGGTCCCTGGCCTCAGTGGGTGGGAGGAGGAAGTCTTATGTTGAAGATCACCTTTTCTTTAAAAATAAGGAATTATTGTTACTAATTATTACTTTAGTCAGGGTCTTATTTATTGCTCCCTGGTCGTAAACTCACAATATAGATAGGTGTAGCCATGGCCAAGGATGACTTGACTTTACAATTCTTGCTATTCACCTCTCAAGTGCTGGGATTACAGGGTTGTGCAGTCTAACCTGGCTTATGAGGCGCAGAAGATAAAACGCAGGGCATCTTGTATACCAGCAAGGTCTCTCCATTTCTTGCCACATCCTAGACCTAGACAACGAACTCTTCTGTTTTGTTCATTATCCTCTGTAGGTGCCCATGTTGGCCTAAAATTCATGGCAGTCCTCCTGCTTCAGCCTTAACAGTGCCCTTGGCTGGTGAGGATTTCTGATGACTTGGGAACTGACTGAGAGACCCTTCTGTTCATTCTTGGGGGACTTTTGGTTTCCCTAGAGAAAACATTTGTTTATTGGGGTCCTTTTCTGATAAATGCAGGACTCTGGAGTCAAGTGGGTCTTTCTTTTTTGCACTTAATTTTGGTTTTTTCCAAGGCAGGGTTTCTCTTTGTAGTTCTGGCTGTCCTGGAACTCTGTAGACCACGCTGGCCTCCAACTCATATTCTCCTGCCTGTGCCTCCCAAGTCCTGGGATTAAAGGTGTGTACACCACTACCCGCTTTACTTTCATTAAAAATTTTCAACTTCCTTTTGGGAACACAAGGAGCACCAGTCATCATTGCCTTCACACACAGGAGGAAGGTTGGGGCATTCGGCATGGACAGAAACACTTTGTGCTAGTTCTCATGGTGTTTGGCCCATGAAGTCCAGGTGTCCGCCCACCAATTTTACTCTGCTCATAAACTAGGACACCAGGCTGCACAAACAAGATCCTTTGAATCTTAGAATGAATGTTCCTGGATGAGGTTAAATAAATGAGAGATGAGATGAGCTTACAGTTATTACTCTGAAGAACGTTTAAAAACAAAACAAAACCCTAAGATAACATGTTTAGTTGGCGTCCTACTCAGAAGGCTGGTCTCCTTTCTTCCTGGATTGTTAACAGGATTTTTATTGTTCTCAGCTTGCTCCCCTCCCTCCTCATGTTTTTATGGAACAAAAGCAGCATTAAAAGTCCTGTTTCCCTGGGAATTTCCTCTATTTCATTAAAACAGGTGGTGGCGCTTTTAAAAACCCTTTGGGTGGTCACATTTGTAACTGGTGCCACACTGTGCTCATGTGTGCAAGATAAGAATTTGGAAATAGAACATCCGAGTGGAGCGGGGAACATGTACTTATCAGTTGCTAATAACCGAAGGTAGTAATGATCAGAGTTATTTTTAAAATTCAGTGTGATTTTTACTTTTCCGCTGTCTCTGGTGTTCTGAGAGTGATATTGAATATACTTACTTTTTCCCCCCATCCCCCTTCGAGACAGGGTTTCTCTGTGGCTTTGGAGGCTGTCCTGGAACTAGCTTTTATAGACCAGGCTGGTCTCCAACTCACAGAGATCCTCTTGCCTCTGCCTTCCAAATGCTGGGGCTAAAGGCGTGTGTCACCAATGCCTGCCTGAATATACTTACTTTGAATGTTTAATCATTCCTTCTCTGTTGTCTCTTAATCTAAAGAGAAAGGGACAAAGTGTGATCTCTTACATCTTTGTTTTCAATTCCATTTCTTAGGTCTGTGGTTTACCAGCAGAGTTCCAAAGAATCCGCCACTTTGCAGCCGTTTTTCACACTGCAGTTGGATATTCAGTCTGACAAGATACGCACAGTCCAGGATGCATTGGAAAGCTTGGTGGCAAGAGAATCTGTCCAAGGTTACACCACCAAAACCAAACAGGAGGTGTGTTCACTGCTGGCAGGGTATCTGTGTGTAGGCCTTCTAGATGCATGAACAGAACAGAATTTGGGTTGTAGGAAGCTGAGTGGAACCCATTTCTCAACACCAGTTAGTAACTTCATTGAGAAATCTGAGAATTTGAGGATGGCATTGGGGGAATCATGACCCCACTGTCATTTGCTTTTATTTTTGTGGCCTGCATGTCATTATCATCTTGATATCCTGAAAGTCAGCTGGCCTCCAACAGAGGCTGAATTGGGGCATAAAGTGGGTTCTGGGTACAGCTATTCATCTTATCATAGGCCAGGAAGGACACTGACAGTCAGATAAAATGTCCAGATGCATGCTGTTCTTTGATGTGATTAGACAAGGATCAGGTCTCAAGTCTTTCTATCCCCTACAGTGATGAGTTGGGGTTGTACCTTGGGCAGGAAAGACTGTTATCTAGCTCTTGATGTACTTGTTCTTTTGGTCTGCACTGGAGCCGATCTTCCCTCTGTCATGTATTTTATAGTCTGAGGCATTGAAGTCCCAAGGCTGTTTGGCTAGTTAGGATGGTACATTTCTGAAGAACTCTTGGGATTGGAAAGCTGTAAGCACCTGGTAGACTGTAGTGGTTACATGGTTAAGTGGTCCCAGTGCAAACCTGTCTTCTTCGTGTGGTCCTGCAGAAATGTCCTTGTATGACTTGTGCACTGAGAGGAGTGAAGAAAACCCCTCAGCTTCAGCTGCCTCTCAGGCCGCCTGCCACAACCTGGGGATCTGGAGAAGAAAGATCTAAGGGCGCCACCATATTGTCTGACTTGTTTCTGGTGGATGGCTTTGTTTAAAAATGTTAGAAACAAGAACCTCGCTAGCCTGAGTGAGAAGTGCCTGGTTGAGGACCTTTGTGCAGGTTATGGCAGCAGAGACATGTTGTGTCTGGCTGTGAGTGAGTGAGTGAGTGAGTGCCCGCTTTGTTCAGCCTATAGAGGCTGTGGCTCTGCTAAGATGTATTACCGCCCCAGGCTGCTTGGTCTTCTGCCTATGTTCTTCTGTTGGGCGGTTTCCCAGCCTTCCCTAGGTCAACCAGAAAAGACCCCTCTGGCTTTTTATTACTTTCTCATTTCCCAGTGTTAGGTAGGCAGAGGCTGGCAGGTCTCTGAGTTTGAGGCCAGCCTGGTCTACCGACTGAGTTGCAGGATAGCCAAGGCTATGCAGTGAAACCCAGTCTCAAAAGCAAAACAAATAACCTTATTATACCTTAGGTGACAATGTGGACTATGATAACTTTTAGCTCATTTCTGTTGTATAAATAGAAATTGCACCTCATCTCTTGCAGACCGAGGCAGCAGTTATGGAGCCTTTCTTTGTGTGTTGTGGTTGTTGGTTTAGTATTTGGGGTTGGGGGTTCCTCACTGTAGTTGGAATTTTCTCTGGGGTGCCAGCCAGCTCCCAAATACATAAAGACACATAGACTTATTAATTATGAATGCTTGGCCTTAGCTTAGGCCTGTCCCACTAGCTCTTTTAACATAACCTGTTTCTATTTATCGACCTTTTGCCATGGGACTTGCCTTCCTTTCATTCTGTCTGGCATGTGTTCCCACTTCTTCTACATCTGGCTAGGTGGCCCCTGGCTTTTTTTCTTCCCACCTCCCCAGCTTAAGTCCTCCTCCTATTTACTCTCCCTGCCCAGGACTGGCCTTAAACTCAGAGATCTGCCTGCCCCTGCCTCCTGATGCTGGGATTAAAGGTGTGCCCCACCACCACCTGGCCAATGGGTTGGAAGTTAAAAGGTGAAAAGCATGAAATGAATCTGAAATTTATTTTTGCACCCCTCTCAGCTTTCTACACCTTTTTTTTTTTTTTTTAAGCTCACAGGTGGGTGTGAGGTGTTCACTAGGTTTCTCACCTGCGGGGGGGGGAGGGGGGTAGACATCTGGGAGGCCCAGCTCCTTTCCCCCAGGTCCTGCCAGATCACCCCTGGTGGGCTGCTGGCCTTGCTGTCTTTCAGATTATTATTAATCACATTCTGTCTGTCTTCAAGTAACTAGTGAAACTTCAAGGATAGGAATCACCAGCTGATGGATTTAATGGAGGAAAACAAAATAAAAGCCCAACACCAGGCAGAGGCTAGGAAAGTACCGGGTGGGCAGAACAGTGCTGCATCCTTCTGGGTACATTTTTTTTTTGGACAGCAGGGCATGCCATGCTCACCTGGGAACACACAATGCATTAAGTCTTAATAAAGCATTCAGGAGAGACCTATGAAAGCACTAAAAGGGCATGATGACAGAACCAGCCAGTTAGTAACAGGGACTTCTTTAGGACTTCTTTGTGCTTGTCTGAAGAAAGACAGTAGATATATTTGTGAATGAGAAAGAGGCTAGTGCTTGCCAGTTCCAGCCTGTCTTCGGTTTGTTATTGGACTTCACTTGGAGCCCACAGATGGGTTTCCAGCCTCCTTTGCAGATGTATCTGTAGGGGTGTGGGTATGGCTAGGGCTGGGACGCAGCTGTGCAACCCCACAGAGGGTGCTGCTGCAGCCAGGCAGGCCTGTGAGCCCTGGCACACTGTGTCACAGGTTGAAGTCAGCCGCAGAGTGACTCTGGAGAAGCTCCCTCCTGTCCTCGTGTTGCACCTGAAGCGCTTTGTCTATGAGAAGACGGGCGGGTGTCAGAAGCTGGTCAAGAACATTGACTATCCTGTGGACTTGGAGATCAGCAGAGGTAATGCTCAGCCCTGTGCTTGCTGCAGTGCCCCCTGCAGGCCCAGGAGTCTGTCGCTACTCACTCTAGTGACATTAAGGCAGAATTATTTTTGCTTCTAGTTTATTTACATTTGTGGATTTTTATACAAAAATTCTCATTAGGGTGGTTTTCTTTTAATTTGACTTGTATTTTGCTTACATGTATTATTGTATACCATGTGCATGCCTGGTGCAGGTAGAGGCCAGAAGAGGGTATTGGATCTCCTGGGGTTGGAGTCACAGATGGCCATCAGCTGCCATGCCACGTTTCTGCAAGAACAGTCAGTAGTCTTACCCACTGAGCTTTCTCTCCATTTCCTATCTTTCTGTAAAAAAGATTTATTTAGGTGTTCTGACTGCATGTATGCCCTCAAGCCAGAAGAGAGGGCATCAGATCTCATTACAGATGGTTGTGAGCCACCATGTGGTTGCTGGGAATTGAACTCAGGAAGAGCAGCCCATGCTCTTAACCTCTGAGCCATCTCTCCAGTCCCTGTTTTTCTTTTTGAAGGGTCTCACTATATAGTGCTGGCTGTCTTAGAGCTCACTATGTACTAGGCTGGCTATGAATTCTTACAAAGATCTGCCTGTCTCAGTTCCCAACCGCTGGAATTTCCCACACCTGGCTTAGAAAGAGACAGACAAAACGTAAACAAAACATTTTAACTAGATCAGAAAAGAGTGGCTGTGGGGAACACCTGGTGCTGGCAGTGTGTACCCTCTGCCCCTCGACAGTGTCAAGGTTCCTGTGCAGCGACGTGCTGGCCATCTCTTTTTCCTAAACCTCTGACACTTGATGTTATAGAATTTATTTTTATTTAAGTGTTTTATCTGTATGTATTCACACCGCATACCCCCACAGATCAGAAGAGCTTGTCAGTTCATCCAGAAGTGGAGTTACAGATGGTTGTGAGCAACCAAGTGGGTGCTGGAAAGTATGTCCCTTGCCTCCCCACTCTCATCCCCACACCAGGTTTGAAGCGCTCTAACCGCTGAGCCATCTCTGTCTAGCTCTGACAGCATGTTTTAAAGGGCCGCAGAAAAAAGGAAGGGAACCTTTTGTTTTTGTTAGTTTGATTTTTAAAGACAGGGTTTCTCTGTATTGCTTTGGAGCCTGTCCTGGATCTAGCTCTGTAGACCAGGCTGGCCTTTTTTTTAACTCAAGAGTTCCAACTGCCTCTGTTCTGAGATTAAAAAGGCGTACACCACCAATGTCAGGCTTGAAACCTTTTGTTTTTTTAAAAGGTTACTGTATGTGTGGGTGGACATGCATGCCAGAGTGCACATATATAGGTCAGAGGACAGGCTCAGGAAGCCAGACCCTCACCATTTGAGATCCTGCAGTAGAACTCAGGTCGCTCGCCTTGCATAGCAAATACTTACCCTGGCATTCATGTGGAAGTCCGAAGCACCTTGTAGGAGTCAGTTCTCTCCATCTACTGTAAGGGTTCTAGGACTCTGGCGGGCAACTTTCCACACTGCACGTCCTTTCCATGCCAGCACAGAAACTGCCCCTGAAAACTTTATAGTTGTGACAAACATCTTCGTGCCAGAGCCTGACTGGAAATGTTGCAAGCCCAGGTGGTCCACAGAATGAATACATGGGTCTGGGAGCAGTGGTGTCCTCCCCCTAATCTTAGACAGAAGTCCTCAAGTTGAGTCCTCTGTCTCCGGGACTTCATACCTGGATTCCTGGGTGCAGTTACCCCCTGCCCCATGGCTGTCATGGCACCTTCAGGTTAAGTCCTGACACCACTCTTGGCTGGGACCTGTCCATCCCTGCTCTGACCTCGACGTGGGGGTGGGTGTTGTTAGGCAGAGTGTCACCAATCAGTGTTTCTGCTGTGGAAAGATTTTGTTGAAGTGCTAATGTTTTGTTTTTCAGAACTTCTTTCTCCTGGAGTCAAAAATAAGAATTTTAAATGCCACAGAACTTACAGGCTGTTCGCAGGTGAGTATGCTTGCCCACACTGCTGGCTCACACACAAGCAGAAAGCCTATATGGTAACTAGACAAAATTGTTCTGGAGTACACACAGACTAGACCCTGGGAGAGCTTGGGGTGTGCCGTGAGGGAGGGTTCTCAGGGTGTATGAGTGTCCCCTGAGTCAGCAGCCTGTGGGCTCTAGTGGATACATCCACATTTGGAGGGATTAGGTGGGGATCTGTGGCAGTAGGAGTGAGGGACTCTTCTCACGGGTTGCCTGCCTTGTATTGTCTTCCAGTGGTCTACCATCATGGTAACAGCGCCACGGGCGGCCACTATACTACGGATGTCTTCCAGATAGGGCTTAATGGCTGGCTGCGAATCGATGACCAAACAGTCAAGGTTATTAACCAGTACCAGGTGGTGAAGCCAACTGCTGACCGCACAGCCTACCTCCTGTATTACCGTCGTGTGGACCTGCTGTAGCCATGTCCATGTGCCTGTGTGTGTGCACCCCTGACGCTGCTTCCTACAATTCCCAACTCACTAACTTCCCACCACTCTAGTGGCTCTTTTAGAGAGAAACTCTCCCTCTGTGACAGTGGGCTTGAATGAAAGATGTCTTGGGGGGGGGGGGTCTGCACAGCTCAGCTCATGCTGACTCAAACTTCAGAGACCGTCGCTTGGTTGAGGAAATAACACAAGACACGGCGCTTCTGAAGAACTGCTGGCTCCTTACTAGAGGAGGTGGCTTGCACTGTGTCCCAGTCTGATTGCATAGTGGAATGAGTCCCGCACCAGCAGCTCTTGTAAATTTGTGAAAATGAATTTTATCTTTCCTTAAAAAATAATTTTTTTAATTCATCACACTTTCCTCCCTTACCCTTTAGTTTTTGATAAACGATAAAAATGAGCCAGTTATCAGAGATGAGAAAGTTCTTACTTTAAAAGGAGATAAATACACAAAACATGTCGCTGGTTCCTAGAAGGAAACACATTTTAACAATTGTGAGATGAGAACTGCTGACTTAAACACTGCAGTCAGACATTTGGGGTGCAGACCTCAGGCTATGGAGGTGGGTGATTGTAACTTTATTACCATGAAAAGATTTCAAATCGCATTCATGCTCTGTGTACACATGAAGTGGGCAAAATGATGATTGACATTTCCCAATGTCTGCTGTGTAAACTCCTGTCTGCGCCCTTTTGATGCTGTGTCCCTAACTGTACACAGTGTAGTGATTCCTAGGAGTATAAAGTTGTCACCCGTCAATAAAGATCACAAAGTTGGTTTAAAGCTACGTGTCATGTCCTTCCCAGGCACCTTCCTGCTCTTCTGCCTCCCTCCACACTCCAGGGCTCCACTGCTGCTTTGGATAAAAAACCTCCATGGTGTTTGTTCCTTTAAATAGGCCTGAGGCTTGTGAGCTTAGGCCAGTCCTGCCCTAAGGTTATTGAAAGTAGCGTTTGCTTGAGACTTGGCCCTAGCCTGCCTGTGAGCCTGTGCCAGCCATTCCTGCAGGGTTGAGAGCATGCACTCACACCCTTTTAGACCTTAGCCTGTTTTGAGAGCCTCTGTCACCGACAATGCCATGCCTCAAATTGTGTTGTGTTCTGAAGCTGCTGGGTGTAGGAGAGAAATGAAGGCATGGGCTCTAATTCACAGAGCTGCAACAGTATATATAACATGGCTGACAAGGATGGGTGTACTGCTTGGTTTCATCCAAACAGTCAGAAACATCACCTCACTCCCCCCCCCAACCCCCATATAAACACAACCCCTCCTGTGGTATCCCTGTGAGCATAATAGGTCCTTGACACTCAAGCCTTCATGCTCTAGAGACTGCGCAGTCCTGTAGGACAGGGTCCTGTGATGGTAGTGTCACTTCCCAGGAAGAGCCAGTTCACCACCACACAAACACTAGGTGAGGCTGGAGGCCCATCTCAGCACCCAAGGTACATTGGTGCCCAAGGAAGGGACACTCAGCAGCTGCCTCAAGGTCTCAAGTGGCATGTGGATGGTGAGTGTGCTGTTCCCATGGGCCCTGCTAATGTGCAGCAAGTTTGCACAGAAAGCTGGTCAGCAGGCCCTTGTGCATGTTAAGTGTACCTGGGCTTGCTGAGCCTGGCAATTGGGTTTTTTGTTTTGTTTTAAAAAGTCTGTCTGGATTTTAAAGTTGTGACACTTTTCCTTGGTATGATCTCTAACCTCCCCTCCTTTGTTGGTATTATCCTGCCAGTTATGGATGCTTCCCTGAAGCCTGTATAGTTTGGCTGCACTTCAAAGGCCAGGGAGATAGACCTCAGCCATTGGTGCATTTGTGCATGCTTAGGGTGGTACCCACATGCTAGGCTTGAGCCCGACCATTGTGGTACATTCTCAGCTGCTACTAAGAAAGTGTGAGGGACCATGTGCTTGGCAGCCCAGGGTGGTTACTGCTGTGCAGTAGCCCCTTAGGGAGGTATTGAACCTTTACCCTTCCAGCCTTTGGATACCTGGACATGAGCTAGCTGCACGGTTGTTTGTATTTTTTTTTTCTAATTACCTTTTCTATATAGCTATATCATGAACTTTCTAGAGGTTTCTGGGGTATAGAAATAACCCAGGCAGTCTGTGTCTAAGATGAGACTCAGCAGCAGAGAGAATGCTTCTGTTTGTGTTGCAGAAGACCTCACATTTCTGAACACACAGGAATATGCTTCTGTTCTTCATGGAGGCCAAGGAGGTGGGCAGAAGGAGGGAGCCAGGGGTGGGGTGTGGGGGATAAGAAAAGTAGGTAGCAAAGTTAGTGAGAAGGAAGGTAGGAAAGTGCCAAGAAGTGGAGTGGGAAGCAAGGTTGTGATGAGTACCTTCTTTCTGGCCCAATATTGATGCTGCAGGTATCCATAGCCAAGGCCGCTAGGCCATCAGTGGTCATCATTGGTCAGTGAAGTCCACCTCACTAGCTCTCCCCTTCTGACCTCTATGGACCATACCATTCACCACTTCTGGAGTTTATAGTTTGGTTGTCAGTTGGTGTCCTGGTGTCAAGAGTAGCCCAAGCCTGTTGGAGGCCTACATTTGGTAGTGCTATCTTTTTATCTTTGGCATTGCTGGTAAGTGTAGCCCCAGACCTTGGAGGATATATTGCAAACTACTCCTCTTCTGACCTCTCTTCTGCAACTAGACCCACCTCAGACCTTTGTTTTGAGTTGTAGGTTGGCCTTGAACTCATGATCCTCAGCCCCAGCCTCCAGGGACTTACTACCATATCTGATTCTAATGCCAATGATCTATAATGCCAGCCAAGGAGGAAACTGGCCCTATTGGAAATCACAAAATCAGTGGATAGGTACTTGTACCTACTAGGGCAGAAAGCTGAACTTGCTCTCCATGGTCTTTCCAGGGCCTCACATCACCAGTTTTGCCTTGAGCTACACAGTAGCTGAAAACAAGCATAAGGCATAGTCAGGGCTTTTAGGGACTGGCCTACTGCCCACCAAGCAGATGACCTGTGTGGTCTTTGAGCATTAAGCAGTTGTTGAGAAGCCATTGGCTAAGGCCAGGGGCTGGCATCTGTTGTATGGGAAGGTTTACTCTGGAAGGTTTGTCACCAGGGTGATGGTGTGTAAATGCTGGCTGCAAGGCAGTGGTTTGGAAAATACAATGAAGAAGATCAAAACAGCAACCCTGACTCTGCATGTTCATCTTCTCATTTGCCTTGGAATACCAGAGTCTGAATCTCCATTTCATATAGAAAATGCACTAGTTTGCCTCAGAGTTCCAGCCATACTTAACAGGCTGCAGGATCCTGATGCCTTGACCAAGTCCAGACCTGGCTGCCTGACCTCTGGCTCTCAGTCTAATCTTTAAGAGCTTTCCTGTATATGTTAGCATCTATGGCCTGGAACTACCACAGCATCCCTTACAACTCTCAGGGTAACCATGAAAAATGTTTCCAAACATTGCCAGATATCCCCAGGCCTTTTCCCCAGTTTAGCCACAGAGGGGTTTGGATTTGAGCTTCAGCAGCACCCTCAGTCTGCACAGCCATCATTCCTTACAGTGTTCCTTTTTAATGTCTTCACACTTCTGTGTTTCCAGTGTGATAAACTTGCTACCAGTGAGAGCTGCTCGGCTGATTGATGTTCTTGAGTTCTTATGGTACACACAGCATTTTTTCAGGCATGCTCAGGTGTAGACCCACAGCACTTGGGGCTTGCAGCCTCAGCAGGAGTTGGCACTGCTTGCTTACCTCTTCTAGCTTACATCTGTGACGGGAAACTGTCTGTGTTCAGGGTAAGGCAAACCACACACCGTCAGTCCTCCAGCTGCTGCACACAAAGAGGTCTCAAGTTTGCCAGTTTGGTGGCACAGAATTGTGTTGTCCCTTTCTAGCTGCCACTCAGTGACAGTCACCTAGGACTTCGGTGCCAGGCTGAGCAGCTAAGCCTGTACAGTAGAGGAGCAGGCATCATACACAGCAAAGGTAGAGTCAAAGTCACTGTCCCTTGCCAACCTTAGTACGTCCTCTACTGCTCCCTGATTTGCCTCTAGTGAGCTCCCGCCACTTCTGCAAGAAGAGCTGAGACCTCAGGTGTGTTTGTGGGGAGGTTTCTGTGATCAGAGGTGCACTTGGCATGTGGGTGATGATTCCTGCAGGGCCTCCCCTCTGGCTTGACTACCTAGCCCCTCTCTGTGTGCCATGTAAGCTTTACCAGGAGGACCAGTAGGTGACATACCTGAGACCCACTTTTCCTTTCAGCTTCATGCCCTGCACCTCCAGAGACACTTGTCGGGGTGCAGGGGAGGAAAGTGTGCTATGTGAAGATGGGTTGCTGTTTCACCTTGCCTACCTAAGGCATCTGATGGGTCTAACAAAAAGCTGAATGGCCAAGGTAGGACTTGGAGGCAGAGAGAGTAGGAAGGAGGAGAGGCATTTAGGCTGGGGGTGGTGGGGAATGGAGAAAGAAAAAGAGCCAGGGACACAGCAGGGACCAGTCAGCCAGACTGGACACAGATGAAGCAAGAAAGCAGGGCAAACAGAGTGAAAGAAAAGAAAAAGCCCCAAAGCAAAACAAAGTTGAATAGAGACAGATTAAGTTAAAAGATCTAGTGGGACAAGCCTAAGCTAATGCCGCGCGCGTTCATAATTAATAAGTCTGTGTCTTTATTTGGGAGGTGATTGTTGGCCCAAAGGAAAATCCAACTACAAGAACAGAGTACCAATATGAGCCAAGCCAGGGTGTCTGTGTTTCACTTTGTTAACAAATATCCGTGGTGGGCATTTGTCCCTCATTTCTTTTTTTGGTGTTGTTTGTTTGTTTGTATTTTGAGACAGGGTTGCAGGTAACCAAGGCTGGTTTTAAGCTTGGATAAAGCTAAGGGTGACCTTGGCTTTCTCTGATTTCCAAGTTTCTGACATGTGCCAACACCAACCATTTTTCACTTTTTCCTCTGCAAACTTTGTCTCCTTTTTCTCTATGCCCAGGGGAGCTTGTATGTCTTCCTGCTCATCCTTCTCCAAGGCCTGAGCTTTCACTGTGCCTCCAACCCAGGAGACGTAACTGGGGAGCGTGCTGGCCAAGTCTGTGCCCTCTGGAAAGGGAAGTAGTAAGTTCAGGTTTGAAAGTTAGCGTGGCAGCC